TGGTAATTTGATTTGTACACCAAATGTGCACAAGTCTCCGGAGGTAATTGTTGCTCAAAAATATTTAGACATTCTGGTGTGATTACGACTCAGCGGTGGAGTTGGCAGGCCGATTATCCACAGAGATTGTGTGAGATTGCTAGCTTAAGGCGAATAATACGGAATTTGTGGGTTTATGACCCCGGTAAGGGTTTAAAGAGATATAAAAAGATATAATGGTAATTATAACAAGAAATATATATCAATAAATTTCATCTGTATAAGATCTTGAGCTCTTGGTATCATTGAAAGTATCATTCTGAAGCTGCGCTAAATTTCATTAAATTTTCCTCACATCCAATTCCTACAAACTTCTCTTAATTTTCGGCAATTATAATATCAAACTCTTTGAAAACTTCACATTTTAATTAGACCTTAAAACCGCAGTCGCTTCATCACTTGGTTCAATGGGTACCATATTAACGTAGGTTATGGGCCAGTGGCAGTACAAGCCCCGTAGTCGGGCAGCAGACAAAATGGAAAGAATTTCAATTAAATACTTGACTTGTGCTCTTTACCCTCTCTGATCATATCTCATAGCCACAGTTGAGCTGTTTGTAGTTTATTTTCCCAAAATTCAATCAAATTAAATTGTTTTTCTGGTTTTTTTTTTTATTTGTCTCTAAATATAATTTTTTTGATCTATTCCATATTAATTTCTCACCAACGAAACGCTTGACAGTCGTCTAATTATAATACTCTCTTGCAAATATGTACATATGAACATTTTATTGTATTTAATATATGTATATTTTTGCTTCATGTACTCTTTATGCGGAAAATTGCAAAAAGATAAAAATTTAATGGCAATTTCTTCAAATACGAGGGGTGCTATTTGTGTTTCTGGCCTAAGTCACTTCTAGTCGTACTGGGACCAAATGGTCAGTTGCATACAAAAGTTTGGAGTTTTATGAATTAAACATACATATGTACATACAGCTTTTTCATGTACGACCATGTTTGATATCGATTAACGATAAATCAAAAATTCATCTCAGGCAAAAATGTTCTCCCATATTTGAGGTGGATTTTTAAGCCAAGAATGCTTAGATCAGCTTAGTTAAACTTTTATTGATGAAGCACCATGCACTGCCAATGAAAAAACTGGTATCGCGCATTCAACCGTGGACGTCCTTCGTTGCAGGACGAATTTCGTGAAAGTAGCTCAAAATGTATGCTTGTGCCACAAAATATCGATGCTGTGCGCGAAATGATTGAGCAAGATCGTAATGTACTGCGATATTGAGGTATCCTTGGGAATTAGTATGACGACCATTAATTAGATTTTTCATGATCACCACCTGGTAAAAAAAGATGTGTTAGCGGGAAAACCCACAACATTTAAAAGATGTGTTTCACATCTATACAGGCGACGAATCATGAATATATAAATATTAAATCAAAACAAAATCAGCAATAATCGACGGTATGGATGTTTTTAAGCAAAAAATCGGTGATTTAGGCCTGTTTTATAGATAGTTTTTCTGAGTGCCCAAAGTGTTGTGAAAATAGGTTCAAAATTCCAAAAAGTTTCTCTACTCCTGGATAATTTTGTTCAAAATAATAACCCCATTTTCAGGCGCCTAAGTTGTGTTTAAATAGCAGCGTATGCATGTATGCATGTATAATTAAGCGAATTATTTAATCTGATATGTGTAGATGCACAATAATTTCGAATATCAGTTGGTTTTTGCACAGCTTACTGAACAGTTGGTTATATAGAAACGATCCTATGCGGGTTAATCCATTCATCTGTTTGCTCTTCGGAGTATGGATAGCATTCAACTTTGGATTAAATGTAATTATTGAGGAGTCCTTATGTGAAAAGTTATACAAAATATGTGTGAACATTTCAGGATGCCGTCATCTTCAAGTTTACGAATGTCGTCTGCAAAAGCTACAATAATTCCTGGTTTGTGTTCCACAACTGTCGTCTAAAGGCCGTCGGTCGGAACAAAGTTATCTGCAATATGAATGGGACAGTGCTACACCCTGCTACCGATGTAACTATTCATATGCAGGTGCTCAAAAGGGCAATTGGATACAAGCCCTTTTTATTCGACATTCGCTTTGATGCCTGTCGGTTTTTTCGAAATCGATCTCCACCCTTTGCCAATTTGGTCTATGGGCTGTTTAAAGAGTTTACAAACATAAACCACACGTGCCCCTTCGTAGTAAGATACAAGAACAATTTTTTGTTTTAATGTTTAAATACGAGTACTTCTTTAACAGGGTCCACAAATTGTCAAGGATTTCTATCTGAAGCCTGAGCTGTTGCGTCTGCCCGTTCCGACGGGGTATTACATGATAACGTTTCGGTGGCATTTCGATAAGAAGCTCCAATTCGATACAAATGTGAGTTTTGTGTTCGAAGAGGATCTAATAAACAGAAGTTAAACAAAAAATGGGTTGTGCAGAAAATCGGATATGATTATTACTGTAATTTCTATACAATCAGTGTTTAGCGGAAACCATTAAAGCAACTAAAATCTATCATGCGAAAATTTGCATATATGTTTAGTATAAAATAACACATTGATCTCTTTTAAATTTAATTTTTCCATATTTTTGCAGATTTCGACAGATTGCAATCAGATAATTTTCCCAAAATTCAATTAAATAAAATAGTTTTTCTTGTTATACCCGTACTCAAAAGAGTTAAGGGGTATATTGTATTTGTGGTAAAATTGGATGTGTGCATAGCAGAGAAGGAAACGTTTCCAACTCCATAAAGTATATATTTTCTTGATCAGCATCAATAGTCATGTCCGTCTCGTTGAGCGCCTAGATCTCAGAGACTATAAGAGCTAGGGCAACCAAATTTGGTTTCCAGACTCATGTGATATCCCACTGCTACAAGTGTATTTCAAAATTTCGGCCCGCCCCCTTCCGCCCCCACAAAGGACGAAAATCTGTGGCAGGCACATTTTTAAAGATATGATAAAACTAATTTTCAGTTTCTTCCCCTGCCCCCTCCTGCCAACGACAACGCAACTCATTTTCCTTCTCGCTCGCACACTCTGCCGCGTTCAGTACGCGAGCAACCCCTAGCGGAGGAGATGTAGAATCTAAATGGTACATGTACAATCTACATATTAGATGTATAATATACATTGTAGATGTAGATAACAGATGTAGAAAAAAAATGTAAAATGTAAAATTTTTTTTTAATTCTAAAATTCTAAAAAATCATATGTTCAAAAATGTAAATACTGACTGAGTACGGGTATAAGTAGAGTCGCGTCTTTAGAAGCGACTCACACGTTCCTTCTCGTTAAAACATGTTTAAGTGCAGATTTTATTGCGCAGTTCCCTATTTTTGACCCTAGTTGCACTATGATGTCTCCTATTTTGATTTCCGGTTCTATCGGAACCCATAAATGATTGGAGTTAAAATTTAAAAATAATTAATTGGCATTGAACATTTTAAACTTACCAATCGAAGATGGGCGTACCTAAAATTGGTACCATCCATGGCCGTCGTCATTCCCGCTAGCACTTTCCATTTTTGGACAAAGCTTCATATGACTAACTAAATATATTGAAATGAATTTTATTATTTGAAATCATTGTCTATGAATGGAAACTTGCCATATGAGGCAGGTGGTACTCAACAAAAAGTACAAGAAAAGGTGCATCACGTTATCTCACCAGGTTGTTGTACGCGATGAAGATGCCTTTTTTAATGAATTCCCTTTCTGGGTTACAATCGATGACCGCTTTTGGGGATGCATGTAGGGAACGGGTCGAGTCGGGAAGGGGAAAAAGGGAAGCCCATTTATGATTGGCCAAGATCCTTTCGTTGTCCTTGTCAAAATCGTAATAAGCGACATCCTCATTCTCAACCTTATCCTCATCGTACCCATCGCACAGTGTTGAGATGCATTAATAATGTTACGATATTTAATGCATTCTCATTATGGCTTCTATATTTTAATTGAAGAATTTTCAAGATTTGTTCTTCATCGAATTTATTGTGAAATTCTTGCGATCTGGCGAACGAATAACAGCAACAGCTAGAACTACTAAGCAGGAATGCAACTGCAACAACAACAACGATAACCGCAGAAACAAAATCCAGATAAAAATAAATACATTTTGGCAGCATATGATACCCGCACTTTGTCAGTATATACATTCCTATTCCGAATGTTATCTTCGATGTGAGGAATCTGTCTTAAAGAGCGTCTCACGTTACTCACAGTTATGCTTGTGTGATCCACAGATGCTGATGTTAAGGTGGATGGGCTTTCATACTCTTTCATAAGCTCGTCCATATCGGGTAATGACGCATAAGGTCTTTTTCCTGTCTTTTCCTCTTCAGTCTTTTGGTAGTCTCCCGGATGCCGGCATTTGTTTCAGGGTCAGCCTGTTCGAAGGTGGGCCCTCAGCTGTTGCTACAAATGTTGTGTGCTTGCAGTGTAGCAGTGCTTAGGTTATTTGTGTCTTAACTGCTCCCGCCCCTGCTATAACCACTTTTAAATCGCGTGCGGGTCCAGGAAACCCGTACTGTTTGTCCTCCAGTGTGGTGACAACGGACTCTAAATTTAGACTCTAAATTCAGTTAAAAGTGCTGTCCAGCTTAATAGCTTTCAAAATTAAACGGCTTTTTGGTAACATAGTGCTGTTAAGCACAAAGCTTGCTGTTGGATAACATTGCTGTGGCTACAATTATTTTTAACATATCACTGTTAAGCGCAAACATCAATGTTGACTTAATCTGGTGCTGTTAAACGCAATGAGTGCTACCAAGCTATTGAGTTTTCAAAAAACTGCCGGTGCACAGTGGGGGCGCCACAAAAGAGGCGCGATTTTCAAATGTGCGGGATTTTATTTAGTTTTGCTGCGATTCCTTCCCCGATCTGTACGGCTATACCTTTTTTATGATCGGGGGGCTTACACCCAAATCACAGTTGGCCGTACAGATTAACTTGAGACTTATTTTTGGAGACGTTTTCCGAAATCAGATATTCTCCATTGCCAAGTTAAAGAAGAACTGTTCCAAATTTATTGAATTCTTAACAAATAATATTTATTTTAATTTAACATAGACCGATAAATAGACGTAGAAATGAATTACTTGATACAGCGCGGAAAAGTCCGCCAGCAGGCGATTAATTGTCCGGAAGGCCTTCCGGAAATACTTGCGGACATCACACGCGAGGTCCTGCGCTGCCAGCCTACAAAGGAATGCCTCTGCCAGTTCATTATTGACTATCTGCACTCAGTGATTGTGACACGGGAGAAGGCCTTGGGTGAGTACTAGTGGGTTTCCCCACTCCACGAGTCCCTAGAGTCTAGAGCCGCCCCTCCCTCTGCAGTTGCTAGAAGCATCCTGGACCGCGCTCTGCGGCAGGTTGAGAACATCATCTCGGACCTGTGCGTCTGCGATCTGACTAAAGAAAAGTCGGACATGATGGCACAGGTGATGGAGGATTGCTTCCGCAACTTTCTCGAGCGGCGTCGCTGCGAGATGCGCCGCGGCAAGGAGACAATCAACTTGGAGGACATCGATATATTCGAGGAGCTGCTGTTGAAGTGCAAGTTCTCCGAGGAGGAGCTGGCCATATCCCGTCCGGCCGTCGAGAGTGCCTACAAGCGCTTCGTGGATGCCTACATGGCGGCTGCACGCGGCGCCGATGGCACAGAGCTGCTTTACCAGTACTTCCGCGATCGGGAGCTCAAGCGCATCCGCGAGGCCATGCGCGAGCAGTCAGCCACCATTATCCAGGCCGCCTGGCGTGGCTATCTAGTGCGCGCCAACCTGCCGCAGCACATATGCACCTGCACCTGCATGGTGGTAGGACTACCCCAGATATTTTTCCCTTTTCGTTAATGCCCCAACTGTGTGCCTACTTGCAGGTTGATGAGGCGGCTAATGAGGAGGACTTGCGCAGGGAGCACGCTGCTCGTGTCATTCAGCGCTTCTTCCGCACCTGCCTAACGGTTTGACAGACCTAGCAGCTTCATTTATCGAGACAGTTTCGTCTAATTCCCTGATTCCCCTCCAATTTTGCAGCACGTGGCTCTCAAGCCTATTGTAGATCCCTGTGGGGAGGTGACAGAGGCCTCCGACAAAGAGAGCAGCACACCGCCCGAAGAGCCGACGAAGGCTGAGGCAGACTCGGGTCTAGTGCCACCAACTCCTCCTCCAACCGCTGCAGATACTGTCGCAGTCACTGCCCAACCTTCGGATACCGAGATGGCCGCGGATGTCCCACCAGAAGAGGAAGCCCCCGCTGCAGTGTCCGAACCAGATGCAGCTTCGGAGCCAGTGGCTGATGTTGCGGCCCCTGAGGAGCCGACAGATGCCGTCGTCGAAGAGGCCCCAGCTGCCGAAGAAGCCCCTCCACCGGCAGAGGAGGCGCCGCCAGCAGAAGCAGAGGAACCACCAGCCGAGGAGGCACCAGCAGCTCCTGAGGAGCCACCACCGCCGCCACCAGAAGAGGAGGCCCCAGCCGCAGCTCCAGAGGAGGCAGAGGCTCCTCCGCCCGAAGAAGCCCCCGCCGAGGCACCAGCCGAGGAATAGAATCTAAAAACGAATTTAGTTCCGCTTTATAAATTTATGTTATCTGCATGCTAAGTAAAAGAGGCGAGGGAGGGGACGATCCCTGCCCCCTACGACTCCATGTGGCTCTGTATCCAGCCACTGAAGGTGGACACTCGGGTGTAGACATCCGGGGAGATGTAGAGGCCGCAGACCATCAGGCCATAGGACACGATGCCAACCTGCCTGAGTCCACTCTCCGTTTGCATGACCAGCGGTCCGCCAGAGTCACCCTGAAAGAAGAAGCCAGAACTTTGGATTCAATCTCTTGGAGGAGATTCGGACGAGACTCTCACCGAACAGGCGCCTCTGAAGGGGCCCCGGGCGCAGATCTCCGTATTCGTGACACTCTCCATGCCCGCATCCCTGCACTGCTTGTTTCCTATCGTGTGGTAGCTCATGCGCTGGAGTACGTTCGGAAAGTTGACGTTGTCCAGGAAGGGTAAGGGAACCGGCAGACGCAGACCCCATCCTGTGAGGGTTACGGGAACGCCACCACCGACAAACTCCTTTCGCTTTGCCGCAAACTCAATGGCTCTGATGCTGGCGTTGTTCATCTCCAGCGGTGGCTCAATGAACAGCACGGCCACGTCGCTGGTGACTAGCTCCTGGTATTTGGGATGTATGCTGTAGGACACAACCTGGGAGCGTGAGCCACTCTCCTGCAGGCTGCGAATGCCGGCCACAACTGTCATCCGGGATGCGTTCAGTCCGCGACAGCAATGGGCAGCCGTTAGGATGCGATTCGGCGATATAATAGAGCCGCCGCAAAAGTGCATCTGACCGCCGCTGGTCCTGTACTGCATGGACACCTGATAGGGCACATACTCCCCCGGTGGAACGTCCGCACCACCCACAATTCGAGTGGGTGGATCATCACTACTGGGCTGTCGCGCTAGAAAGCGGGGGAAAACATACCTCAGCTCTCGAATGATTATAGCACTTGGAAACTTACAATTAATACGCGCTGTGGCGCCTCCGGCCGAGATCACTACAGCAATCACTAGAAGCTCCGGCACGCGTAGACCCATCGTTGGTTGTTTGGTTAATGTCAATGGTTTCGCTTCGGATCTGCCAGCCAACTTATAACAACCCCATTGGGCTGGGCACCCCCATTAGAGGGGAATTTGCATAGATATCGCCGCAGATATCTGGGCCAACTGGCAAACTTGGTTATGCCATTAAATTTGATCTTGAAATTCAAAATATAATGCACAATTCTGCTGGTATTCGCAACGTTTGTGGAGAGTAACCTAGTTAAGATATTTACAAATGCGATTATTCCGCAGAGGCAACCTTCTAAACGGAAAAAGAGTGATTGTTGGAAGGAAAGAAATCGTAGTTTGCATATTCAAAATCATCTTTATTAATCTTTCGCCGCCTAGGACATTCGCTCGGTAATCCAGCCATCGAACATGGACACTCTGGTGTAGACATCGGGACTGTTGGAGGCACAGAAAGCCGTGCCATACGAGACGACGCCCACTTGCTTGAGTGACTCGCCTTTCTGCATCACCAACGGACCGCCAGAGTCGCCCTGAAATGAAGTGAAGGGATAAATGATAAGTTTAAGGGATCAAAAATCAATGGTTATAGCAAGAACTGCAACACTCACATTGCAGGCACCCTTGCCAAATCTTTCGAGAGCACAAATCTCAGTGTCCGTGAGCTGCGTCATGGTCTCTTTGCATCTGGCATTGCTGAGCGTCTTGTAGGAGAGCTTCTGCAGCACCGTGGGATACTTGGCAAAGGGACCAGTGCCAAAGTGGAAGACAGAGCCCCAGCCAGTGAGCAGAACCTCCTGGTCGGCGCCCACCTCATCCGTACCGCTCACATCGATGGTGGCCACACGCTTCTGATCCACCGCAAAGGGCGGATCGATCTTGAGGATGGCAATATCGCTGGTCACCAGCTCTTGGTAGTTCTCGTTCATCTCGTAGGACTGCACCTGTGAGCGATAGCCAGTGCTATCGTTCAGATCCCTAATGCCAGCCACCACGGTGATCCTGCTGGCATTTTGTCCGTTGACGCAATGAGCGGCAGTCAGGACGCGATTGGGGGCAATCAGAGAGCCACCACAGAAATGCCGCTGCTGGCCGCTCCGTGTGAGGAACTGCATGGACACCTGGTAGGGCACATACTCATCCTCGGGCACATCGTAGCCGCCGACAACGCGTTCCTGGGAATTTATGTCCGCCTCCTCGAAGTACGCATCCACTAAGGATAGTCGGGGTTTAGTTCTGGTAGCTCTTAATTCTCTCCCAAGTTCTACTCACAATCGATGATGCTGCCCATGGGCTTGCCCTGGATTACCTCCACTCCCGTCAGAGCTACAAAGAGCAAAATCAAAGTAGTGGCTTCCTTCATGTTGAATAGAGCTTTGTCTGCCGTTGGAGCCGCATCTGGGCTTTATATACAGCCGGCTGGAAGACCTACATAATGCAGTTAACTGGGTTTTTCATTCATTTGAATTTTATCGAGTGCAGCTGTGGGTGGTCTCTGTCTCCCGCCCCATGTAATGGGTAACAAGGTCGCCCTGGCAGTGCCAGTGATAGCAAAAGAATAGTCTAGACTCTCGACTGTGAAAACTGTCAGTTGGAACACAGAAATCATGGCATGGAGAGGTAGAGCTGGAGGTGGAGGTGGAGGTAGAGGCGACTGCTTCCGCAGTTCCTGGTAATAACACCTACGCAAAGAGAGCCCAAGAAGGGCAGTCAGAGCAACAGACAGAACCGATCCTCCTTTCAGTGAGATCTGTCTCACAGTTTTAATCAGCGTATAATTTAAATATTCCGATTAAACAAGCAGCGCCCTGGGGCATCGGAAAGCGGAAAGCGGAAAGCGGACAGCGGACATTTCTTTTAATTCATTGTCGAGTGGCGGACAAGGAGAGGAGAGACCTGCCGCTGGCAATCAACACCTCGGACACCTCGGATGCTGCCAGTCCTGTTCTGTCTCCTCTGGCCAGACTATCTCACATGTTCGATGCAAATCAGTTTCAGCTTCAGCTTCAGTTGCAGTTGCAGCTCCTGACTTCTTCCCCAGTGGCCGATGTCTGGGCGGGCTCTCTGTGAGTGCTATCTGGTCTACATTCTACATCCAGAGACAGAGAGTGAGACAGAGCCATAGCCATAGCCATAGCCCCCATGTGTCAGTTCCGGGGCTGATTGCAGGCAGCTAATGAATCATTTTGCTGCTCCTTTTTGGGTGGACCTGGTCTGTGGTCTCCGGTCTCTGGTCTCCGGTCTCTGGTCTCTGTGTGTGTGGCGCACTGGCGCAAATTAATTATGCACACCTCTCGGTTTCGTTTCGATTCTATTTGTGTTTCTGTTTGGGCTGTTGCTTCAACTGAAGCTCTGTGACTGGGGCTGGGTCTTGGGCTTGGGCTTGCCCGTTGTTGAGGTCTTGATCTTTGGACTTCTGTGTTAATTGTCCTGAGCTGCGTTGCAGCGCCGAACCGATTTGAACCTGAAATGGCTTTATTATATCTGGCTATACGTGCACCAAGCCCCCACCCAACCCACAGGATGTAGATGTGGCTGTGGCTGTGGCTCTGACTCTGGCGCCTGTCGTGTTGCCTTATGGCTGGCTTTTGTTAATTGGACCACCCTGTCAAGGCATGACTTATCTGCGGATTTTTATTCTTAATTCCCGCATCTAATTTGCATGTGAGTTTCGCCTTGAGCCGGCCTGACAGGTTAATCCCTGTGTAAAACTCATTAGGCTTTGTTCTAGCCACAAAAATGTTGATTAAGCGAATCTACAGAGGGGGCACTGGCTCGACTTCTGATTAAAATTCACTGCGAACTTTTATTCTCATAACTCCAACTCCTTTCTGCAATTCCACAGACGATGCTCAAAATTCTGGCTAATAAAATGCATTTAATCATTTCATCAGCAATGTTTCAGACCTCCAGATCCGATCCCCTGCCTGCCTTTGAGCAGGGTTTATTGGAACGTTCGGTGTTAACAAGATAAGCATCCTGGCCCGTCCGCTGCGACGGGACGCCATCATTATTATGACATTTTGCCTGATTGCCTGCCTCTCGTCTCGGATCTCGGATCCCGGATCTCTCATTCAGGGCCATGTTCTTCGTGCCAACTTCTGTAGAATTGTGCGTGTGGCCAAGAACGGAGTCGAGACATTCTCACTGCAATTTTTATGGGTTTTTTGTTTTCGGGTTTTTGTGTGTGTGGCTTCTTCTTGTTTGTCTCTTTGCCGCCGCCGCCGCCGCCGCCGCCGCCACCGTCTTCCATGTGATTTATTTGTGCAGTTCTTAAAGCAGAGCCGCTGGTTTTATGATGTGAAAGGAGGAGGAGGAGGAGGAGTGGCCCTGGGTCGAAGCCCAGTAGCCCCGTCAAGGTGGAATTATTCATAGTGATTGTCTCGATGGGTATTAGGGATCGTGCCAATGGAATTGTCATGGCTTGGATCTCCTATCCTATCCTATGGGAGTAGTTGTCCAGCTCGTATGCAAATGATTATGACTGACAGCATAAATTAACAGGATCAGCGTGGACTACATACGGGTACATGTACACGCACCAGAATACTCCAGAATGAGTTTTCCACTCTCTCAGGCAATTAATTTTGATCTGGAAAAAAGCGAGCGGAAAATTAATTGCGTGTTTTGCATAATCAGTAAATTGGTCGTTTATTTTAGTACTTAATTTGCTTGGCATCGCCTCGCAAGGTGCACACTGTGCAGTGCAGTGCAGTGCCTTACCTCTAGCTCTAGCTCCAGCTCCACATCCACCTCCCCCCCCACATGATCACTGGTCTTATATAAATTATGACTCCCAGGTACGTAGCATGCAGCGATCTGGCATTGGCTTCGCTCCGACTCGGGCATTGGGCAAATTAAACAGATTTTTATTTGCAAATCAGATAAGAGATCATGCCACGGAGCACAGTGCAGATACACAGATGCAGATACTTCCCAAGTGGTGGTGTGTGTGTGTGTGTGTGTGTGTTTGGAATCAGATACAGATACAGCTAGAGCGGGCTGGCTGGCTTAATATTTATCGGTCGCGTGAGCTTGTTACCTAATTGATGACAACAGGTAGGCGCTTCTGTCAAGCGATGTCTCTGGGCCCAGATGGGATATGATGGGAGAGGTTCGCTGATCTCCGCCAGCTTATGATAACCAGGCACGCAAGGGACAAACAGCGGGTGGGCCAATTGGACTACTGTTTGGATCTTCTAGCACTTGTCTCTGCCTTCCTGTCATTATTCATCTCTGGATGATCCCCTTCTTGTTTGCTTGGATATTATTTATATTTTATGCACAGCAAACACAACCCCAATTTCGGCAGATTTCAAGTTCACCAACATTTACATGGCTATATGTAAGTGCTCTCGCCCAACCTTAGCCCAAATACATTGATAAGCTCAACCCCCAACTGGGAGCTATAAAAGCCATGGGAGGTTATCACTTGCAACTCATTCGCTGCGGAGCAAAAGTGCCACCAACACTCGGAATGTTGGCCATAAAGTTATTCTGTCTATATCTGAGTGCGACCGCCGCTGCCGGCTGGATAGAACCCACAGAAACATCAGCAGATCCCGTTCGGATCAAGGAAAGTGCACCCGATCCCGTCAGGATTAATGGCGGCCAACTGGTGAACGAGACAGTGCCCTTCCAGATCTCCCTGCAGGTGCAGCGACGAGGACGCTGGAGTCACTTCTGCGGGGGCTCCATAGTCAGTGCCCAGCATGTGCTCACGGCCGCCCACTGCGTGGAGAAGATGAAGGTGGAGAACATCAGTGTGGTGGTTGGCACCCTCAACTGGAAGTCCGGGGGCCTGCGACACCGGGTGGTGGCCAAGCATGTGCATCCCCAGTACGCGATGAGTCCCCGGATCATCAACGACATTGCCCTGGTCAAGGTGACGCCTCCATTCCGCTTGAATCGCGCTGACATCGGGACCATCCATCTGGGTGGAACGGATCGCATTGGCGAGAGGGTGTCGGTGCGTCTCACGGGATGGGGTTCAACTACTTCTGCCACCTCTGCGGCCAGCCTGCCGGATCGCCTTCAGGCGCTCCACTACAGCACCATTTCGAATGACGAGTGCAACCAGAAGGGTTTCCGTGTGACCCGCAATGAGATCTGTGCCCTGGCTGCCCCGGGACAAGGGGCATGTGTGGTAAGCCGAGAGATATTACGTTTATATGACACAGATCACAGCACACAGATACACCCCACAGGGCGACTCTGGTGGACCGCTTATCATGGCTGGCTCTCGTCCCCAACTGGTGGGCATTGTCTCGTATGGCTCCTCCACCTGTGCCCAGGGCAGGCCCGATGTCTACACACGTGTCTCCAGCTTTCTGCCCTACATCAGCAAGGTGATCAACCAGGATCTGGCCTAATAAATACATTCGGACAACGTATAAATAAAGCAATCTCATCGCAGCGAATAAATACCTTGGAGTCTTTGTATTTAGTTTCTCTCTCTCTCTGCTCTGCTCTGCTCTCTCCCCTTTCGTTCGTTTTGGCGACTAATTAAAAATCTTGTTCAATATTCGCCACACAGACACAGTGGGGAGGAGGAGTGAGACGACGAGTCAATGGGATCTAGGGAGTGAGAGGAGTGAGAGGAGCAGGCAATGGTCTGGCCTCTCCTCTTCATGGTCTAGGCTTGGCCCGGCTCCAGCGAGAAACTCGGGCTGCTGCTGCTGCCGCTTGCCGCCTGCCAGGGCGACCATGATAAATGCAAAAAGCAATTTATCGCACATTTAACTCAATTCAGTTTCTTTATGGACAGTCCCCCCCGAAGGAGGCCGTGCCGGTGCCGGTGCCGTGCCGTGCCGCTGGAGGAGGAGGCAAGAAGGAGCAGTAGGAGACTGCCACAAAGTTTCGCTGACACGCACACTCCACTCCCATAGGCTGGAACATACGATAGACTGGATAGACTGGGGTTTTGCGTTTGCGTTTGCGTTTTGGGTATGGAACTGGAACTGGAACCGAGGACTGCGTCGAGGCCTGCCTTTGCCTGCCTTTGCCTGCCTTTGCCTGCCTTGTAATTCGATATTAGATTTTATGTGCGACAAATACGAAGTGCAAACATTTTTATGTTTGTGCAATTTCTATGCTGCATTTTGTATTTGTAGTGGAAACGATTTGCCGGGGCGCCGACTTTGACTCCAACTTTAACTTCGACTCCGCTTCGCTTTGGCTGTGGCTGGGGCTGTGGCTGCGGCATGGACTCATGGATTACTTCTCCGGCTGTGTAATTAAGTTCAAATAATGTGGAGCTCATGGTTTTGGGTTTGGGTTCTTTTCAGCAACACTAGCCAACAAAGTTGTGTGTCCGAACAGTGCCATAAACAACAATCCCATGGGGGTCTTCAAGTCTTGTGGAAGACTAAGCCCATGTGTCTGGATCTCTAACATCTTGTGCAGCTTTTGTAGGACAGTGTCAGTTTTGTTGCTCGTTTCACGCTCTCATTTTACTGGCTGAAACCTCGGCCACGGTCCACGAGAGCATAACATGGAAAATCTGGCACTCGTCCGCACACACTCCCCCCATCCCCACATCCCCATTCCACCCCGTATATAGACAGCTAACAGCGGGTCAAAGCAGTGCAAGAGTAAGCCGAACCCATAACCATCTCCCATCGCATCCCCAGTACTAGCCGATCCGTATGGCGGCACTATGCGTCGCGAGACTCTGTGCTGAGCATATAAATTCATTTAGATCAATCAATTCAATTTGTTTGTCAATAAGACCTAAATGAGTATTTCATTTAAACAAATTAAAATTCGAAATTCTGAAATTCCAGAGGCAGCAGCCCAAAGAAGAAGAAGCAGAAGCCACCAGACCCAGCCTCAGACCCAGCCCCAGACCCAGACCCAGACTCATCCAAAAAGCGAACCCAGGGACAGGGAGAGCAATTAAAATTGACGCGACACACTTGATTCCCTGATTTCTTAAACGAACGCAATGAAAATATGTATATATAAATATGAATATGCCTGGACTTTAGCTCGGTTCAGAGCCAGTTCGAGACCGAGACCCACAGATCCAGACCCAGAGAGCAAGACCAAAACAAAGACCGCGACCGAGACCGAGACCAAAGACCAACACCAAGACCAAGACCAAGAGACCATTGCCCATCTCTGTTGACTTTTCATTGTCAATTAAAATCAAATAAATTTATTTGCTGCTTGACTTTCGCTCGGTTCTCGCCACAGTTCTCGGTCAGAGATTCCGATTCTTGGTACTTGATTCTCAGTTCCCCGTTTCCAGTTCCGTGGAGAATTGTTTTTTGTTTGGCATGCAAGTGGATTGAACATTGATTGTTCTGACTTTCCCCGACAAAGAGTTGTCCACCTTTGGCGGGTATCAGAAAGCGGCGAGAGTTAGGTCAAGTCTGACTATTTGGCCTTGCCCTGGTTGGCCACCGCCTCCATGGCCTTCTTCACAGTCTCGGGATCACCGAGGAACTGCAGAGTGCCCAGCGGCTTCAAGCACTCGTCCAGCTCGTAGACAAAGGGTATTCCCGTTGGCAGATTGAGGCCCATGATGGCTTCGTCGGACATGTCCTCCAGGTGCTTGACCACACCACGCAGACTGTTGCCATGGGCGGCCACCAGGACTCGCTTTCCCTCCTTGATCTGGGGCACGATCACGTCGTTCCAGTACGGAAGGCAGCGATCGATTGTCAGCTTGAGGGACTCTGACTTCGGGAAATCCTTGGGATCCAGTTGACCGCAGTAGCGCGGATCGTTCACAATGAAGTCGTAGTACTTGTGATCCCTCTCCATGGGAGGCGGCGGGGTGTCGAAGCTGCGTCGCCAGATCTTCACCTTCTCCTCGCCAAACTTCTTGGCTGTCTCTGCCTTGTTGAGGCCCGTCAGGCCGCCGTAGTGTCGCTCGTTCAGGCGCCAAGTCTTGCAGATAGGGATCTCCTTGTGACCACTGGCCGACATGGCAGCCGCCAGGGTGTCCTGTGCCCGCGACAGCAGCGAGGTGTAGGCCACATCGAAGTGCATGTTGGCCTTCTTGAGTGCTACTCCTGCCGAGCAGGCCTCCTGCAGACCCTTCTCGCTCAGCTTGGCGTCGAACCAGCCGCAGAAGAGGTTCTTCTGGTTCCACTCGGACTCGCCATGCCGCACCATCACGATCCTGTAGCGGCCCTTCTTCTTCTTCTCACTGCACGAATCCTTCGAGTAGGAGCAGCTGAATATAGGACGCAGCTTCATCAGTCCACTGCACACTTGACTTCTCCATAGTGCCTTAGCAATAGCCAACATTTTATGAAACTTTATTTTGTCAAGAATTTCAATTTCACATTTTCAAATAATTTTTCAGACTTTCGAATGATCGACAAATTATTCTAAGTGAACTCCACCTTGCAGTGCTTGCAGTGCTTAACCTTAACCTCATTTTCTCGCAGCTGCAGCTTTTTATGCGAAACCCCCCCAGAGATTGTTTCTACAATATACTTTATACAGCTACAAGCTAACAGATCGTACCTTAAATACAATTCCTTCTGTACAAATTTATTATTATATATCACATATACCTTCCTTTAAGCCCTTCGCTGCAGTGCCAGTAGAGGTTTCTTGCCCAACTCCATACCAATATTGTCCATGAATACAAAATCCTCAGGGCGAAAACTGGTGCTCAGCTTGAAGTTCCTCAGAACCTTTGCGAGGGCAATCTTTGCAGATATTTCGGCGTATTTCCAGCCTGTGAACAGAAAACACTGTAATATCTACTCGCCTATAAATGAGTTAACCAGCCAACCAATGCAGTATCTCTTTCCCTTGTTGAATGGAATGTAAGCATATTGATGAATCTTCGAAATATTTTCGGGAAGAAAGTTGTCGGGGTTAAACTTGTCTGCCTCTGGGCCCCAGACATCCTTATTGCGGTGCGTGTGGAATATGTCGATGCTCACTGTCAGGCCTTTGGGTAATAGGATGCCATTGGACAGCCGAACGTCCTGCGCGGTCACCCGTGGGAGCAATGGAATCGCTGGGATCAACCGCATCGACTCGTTCAACACACGATCCAAGTACACCAGTTTCTGCAGGTCTTCGTAGGAGACCTCAAAGTCCCCTGCATTTGGGAATACATCTTTCAGCTCCTCAAAGGCGGCATCTTGATACTCGGGGGACATGGCCATAAAGGTTAGAGTGCTAAAGACTGTTATGGCCGTTGTCACAAAGCCAGCGGCAACGATAATACTGCACTCGGCCTCGGCATCTTCGATGGAGAATTCTCCGCTTTTAAGAAAGTTCACAGCCCGATTAATCACTATATTTCTGCTTGCCAAGGATTCTTGGCCTTCGTCTGGCTTTTTGGTCAACCTTTCCTCAATTATCTGAAACGAGCAGTACTGGAAATGTACTGGAATTCACTGCATTACATTTCTTACTCACGCCTCTCATCGGATCTTTCACCGCAAACGCAGCTTCTGCTCTTCGTGTTTCCCATCCCACCTTCTTTGATATAGTTCTGTTCAGGGTCGACCAAATTGCCATCAGCAGCGTTGTAAAGTCAAGGACTCTAAAGAGTTTTTTCATAATAAATAGCTCTCGATCATTGGTAAGGCCAAGTAATTGCATCTTACAGTTGGAAGTGTTTGATTAGTGTCCCATTCTTGACGATTGGATTCTCCTTCACATCGCTGCCCATTGTTGTTCCTGCAGATAGATACTCATAGATGTTTAGGGCATACACCTCAGGAACCAAGCAGAGAGATTACTTACGAATAGACGCTCTAAAGAAACAGTTTTCCAAGTCCGGAAATATTTCCCTTTCACCCTGGCCCACAAAAGTGTCGAGCACGGACAAAAAGCTTTTTGTCTCCTCATTGAAGATCGGAATGAAGCTCATCAGAACATTGTGTCTGAATGAGGGATTCATCTGCTTGCGACGCTCAACCCAATGTGCTCCTAGTGCAGGATAACTGTGTTCATATGGGTTTAAGACGGATGATATTATTTTGTTACCTCCCATTCCCAGACTTCCCGGACCACCATTCATCAATATGGCTTTGCTCAGAATCTGGTTCTTGTCCATGCAATGGGGAGACGTTAAAATATCCTGGACAACATTTGGCTCACTTGTCGCTACGACTGGCATTGGGCCAATCCATGTGAGGTAGGTCGGTCCATATTCCTTGAAATGTTTACTGCGCATGCCTATATTACCTGTTGAAATATCGGATTAGTAAGGACTAACTTTAATGGTGCTATGTGCGGGTTCATTCACGTTTATCCCGAATATACTTGATGGCAATGCCAAAGAAGGGATATCCTATGGGACCCTTCAACCTCAGCATCAGTAAGTAAAATCTCCGTCGGCTCCACAGCAAACACATCCAGGCAAGAATCCCCACAGCCATCCACAGTTGCAAAGAGAACATTATTTGGCTGAACCTCCGATTTCACAGATTGAAGTATCTTTGAGGCTCTGAATGAGCTTTTATATAAAAAGTTTCTTATGTGAGAATGGAACAATCAGCACAAAGTGTAATTTTTATATAATAAAAAGTAATAAAGGTTTCTTAAGTGCCTAAAATAGACTCATATTGCATCACCTTACTTCAAGCTGTTGCAAAATATTTTTATTTATGGGCTACAAATTAGCACAGCTTTTAGTCTAAAATTTGCACGCACAGGGATGGGACTACAAGTTCATACCGCTTCAAAAAGAGAGCAGTCATGGAGAAAGCAATTGTTGTAAATCAAATGTAGTCCAAAAATTGCATTCCTATGCAATTAATAATCGTTCTGATTTTATCAAATGAAAATTATATTTATTAGTATGATCGAAATTTGATTTAACAATCAATATCTGCTGGAAGTATTCCAGTCACAGTTCATCAAATTATTTTTATCACCTCCTTTGCACTTCAAGAAGAGGTTGTTCCTCATACTCCATAACAGCATTATCTATGAAGGAAAGATTCTCATTACGAAAGCTTGTGCTCCGGCGAAAGTTCCTCAGTATCTTGGCTAAGGCAATCTTTGTAGATATCTCCGCATATTTCCAGCCTGTAAATAGAAAATACTTAAATATCTATTCAAAGTTATAAGAAAAAAAAACACCCACCTATACAATTTCTCTTTGCCTTACTGAACGGAATGATAGTGTATGGATGCCTTTTTTGAATGTTTTTGGGAAGAAAATGGTCGGAATTGAAGGTATCCGGCTTTAAGCCCAAGAAACTCTTGTTGCGATGGATGTTAAATATGTCGATGGCCATTGCATCCACCTTTGTGGATCAGAATACCATTTGACAGTTCCAAGTCCTCTGCGGTCTCTTGCGGTAACAGAGGAACTGGACAAGACACAATCCAAGAACACCAGTTTCTGTAGGTCTTCGTAGCAGAGCTCAAAGGCAGCATCTTCATGCTCGGGAACGGCTGATTTCAACGAATACATTTTATGTTAATTTATCTAGTTTATTGGTATTAACGATCTGGTGGCGGTTACTTTCGCTACTTGTGGGAATTTGACTAAGTATTTATGAGTATTTGGTTTAGATATACACACATCATAATACCCCTTACACTGCAGCTAATTTGAGGTAATTGCACCCTGAATTGCCTTGAAAGGTTCCAAATTTGTATGTGTAAAGTTATAGTTCGTTGGACTATAGATTTTTCTATTGTTGCAACTCCTTTCAGAAGCTGATTGGCAGTGGAATGAAGCAGGTGTTAGTAAAGAAATTGCTCTTTTTATGTTCACCTCCTCTACATACTCTAGAGTGTTTATTCTGGTTGAGTACCTCCGCTCTATTCCCTATTCTCTCTATCGAAGCATCATCCATCATTCATATTGGGTGGAAAAAGCAATTAAGCCGCGAATCGTGTCAACTGCTTACCAGTCTAAGAAGCCGCTTACCCGGCTAAGCCCCAAAGCTGTTGCCCAGAAGAGTAGCCGAACAAGCCAGCAGCCATGCTGTGTGTGTGGGGCAATTAAAGTCTCGAAAAATGTCAGCGGCGATAAATTGTTTTTAAGTGCGTTCCACCGAAAGTTGTCAAAAAGTGTTAGAAAGAAATTTTCACCCGCCAGCAGCCGCATCGAATACTCGTAATATATAAAAGTCAGATCCGATGCGTGGCTCGGGGCACCAACTGCCGCTTCTCAAGGTGTGGCAGTGGGGCAGGCTGTCCACGAAACATCGACACGGCACGGCACCGCACGGCACACGCAAGTCCCAGAGACACCCAATGTTGGGGACGACGACGACGTCTATGATAGCACCGCGATAAGCAACATTACCGTACAATTTTCAATTAACACGAAGAGGAAAATGTGAATGCCAGAGGAGCGAGAAGAGTGTCGGGAGAGTGCCTGGAGAGTGGGAGAGTGGGATCGGGGGCTGATAAATTCCATAAAGCCTCGACCCTGGCGCTTGCTTGCAGGCACAAACTGTTCGCCAGAGCAGAGCCCCTCTACAAATTGTCTAATCTAATGTTCAGTGGAGTCTCTGGATTGGGAGACTCGAGTGGAGAGGACTCCCAGCACGGCACTGATCTATGGTAGCCGTTAGTGTCGTCGGCAGTGAAAAGTTGTCGACCTGCCTAAGAAAAAAATAAAAACCAACTAGGGAAATAATCGACAAACGTCCAGCCAGCCAACTGGCCATGGTAGACAATTTATCATCTCGACTTGGGGCATCGGTTTCGCCTGGAGTCCAGTGGCCATAAAAGCTTCTTTATGGCTGCTTCTGTGCCCTAGCTCTGACTCTGACTCTGACTCCGACTCTGGTCCGGGTACAGGTACGGGTCGGAGATCCTCCTCATCAGTCGGCCCCAAATGGAAGCCACTCGCTCGTCGGGCACAAATCTTTCATTTTATGCTAAGCTCCATTTTACCTACTCACATTGACATGTTTTCATTTTCATTTTGCCTTTTACCCCATCATTTTTATGGTTTCCAAAGTGATTTACCATCTGCCAAGTGGTTACTGTGCCGTGCCGCGACTATGGCAGATAGAATGCAATAGATGCAATAGATGACTGACAATGGACAGATTTTGAATAATTTATACACGTGTGTGTGCAAGCAAAAGTTGATCAACGATGTGTCGGAGAGGTTTTTGCGTTGGGAAACCAAACCAAAATTAATTTATATATTAATATGCAAAATATTATTATACGTAATACATTCATTTCCCATCACAATTAGATCCTACCTTGTATCTCAAATTCTAGGCAACAATTTTGTTGTATATCGACCACGCCCCCCGTCTTATAGTCTACACAACAATGTATCTTTTTTTGATGCATCCCCCCATCTACAGACAACTTTCAATATACTTTTCCATTTTCCCAATTTCAGGCTCTGGCTGCAAAACCATCCCATAACCAATGATTACATTTCACCTGCAGCTTAATCAACTTTTCAATTTTCTTTGAACAAACAGCACAAACAAAAAAAAAAAACGTGAAAATAAGTTATAACAAAAAAAAAAATAATAAAAGAAAAATCGCTTACCACTTTCCGTGTTAGATGCGGCGCTTTCATGATTTGCAGGAGGCGCGTGAGGAGTTCAAAGGTGCCACAAATGACATCCGTAGATCCACCGAACCAGTGGCTGACCAAAATAATCCAAGTGGTCAGCAGAGGCTACCGCACAGCTGCGCAGCGGCCTGCAATCGAGATGAAGATGCATCTGAACACACACGTCCACTGGCCATGAACTTTGCTCGGATAACCCCTTCCTGTGGCTGTTGTTTGAATTTCGGCCCCGTACCTGTGGCAATTTGAGCACCTGGCGAGTGCCTCATGTGTGTGTGCGTGTGTATGTGTGTGCCACATCGGAAGATCATTTTCCGACTCGAATTGGATTCCATTTGCGTAAATTGAAAATGAAGCGGCAAAAGGATTCAAACACCTGCATAAGATTGCGAGCAGAACCAAAGAAACAGAGAGATGGAAATTGTTGGCTAAATTCATTATTAGTAATAAGTATACTCGTATGCAGGCTCTCCACTGGAGGCTGTCTCGTGTGGAGGCTGTGCTCCGATGGCTGCTCACATGACTCCCCATCCCATCGGCGTGGGTGTGTGAAATAGGGCTAAGCTCTGGTTCCATCCTGGATGCATCTGCAGATGCGTGCGAGTTCAAGTTCCCAGTCGCCAGTCGCCAGTACCCACCCATAGAGCGACGTGGACATGGACATGCATGCGATTCCATTTTGATAATAATGCCAAAGTCAAATAATTATAATGATCGTGATTACAATCATCGTCTGCACCTTCTTCCTCATCATCATCATGGTGCCTGGGAGTTGGCCAATGACTAAGCCATTTACCGTTTTCTTTTCGGTTCTGAGGTTCTGTGTGCACAGACTGCATTGTACGGGCACTGGAGGCTAGACCCCGGGCACATCTTCAATGAAATTTCAGGTCAATTGTCTTGCGGCGGCTGCGTTTGCGGTCTGAGACCCGAACCTGAAGTTGAGGTTGTAGCTGTAGCTGTAGCTGTAGAGCCCGACCCAAAGCCAGACCACAGCCAGTTTTTTGTTGTTTCCCGAAGTTCAATTGCAATTTCTATTTTCGTGCAGAAGAATTCTCAGTCCAGACATCGATTGCCTGACTCTGGCTGCCTTCCTTCGCCTTCGCCTGGTCGTATGGCCGCCTGCCTGCCTGGCTGCCTGACTGCCTGCCTGCGTAGGCGCTTTCACAGATTAATTGAAGTCATAAGCAATTGTAAACTTATCGCTTTTCGGTCTGCCCGATCCATCCCCACCAACTGGATAATTCTATAATATTTTCTCTGTGGTTTTTTCATCTACGAGTATCTGCCGTCCCCCAGCTCACCTCTCTCTCTCTCTGGGGTTTTATCGATTTGCAGTAGGAGAATGTTTGGTGGTGTTGGCGTTTGGTTAATTTGTTGCTATATTTGATTGTGGCACACTTTGCGCAATTATTTGATTGCGTTTCTATCAAGTCCCGATACAGTTCAAGAGTTCAACAATCAGTAGCTGCATTGCGCTGCGTTTATTTCATTCGGCTTCGAGGTTAAGTTCTCTACAATGAATCAATAAAAAATGAGTCGCTGCTGGCGGCTTGCTGTTTTAAGAATCGCGAAAATGGCATATGGTTTATCGTATGTACGTAAGATCTATCAGAGATGTAGTACGATACTCAATAATGACGATATTCATATGCTTATAAATACATTACAAAAATAATAAAATATGCCAAGGATTAGATAGAGTCTCATCCAATACGATATTTAGGGACAGCCAACAACATAATACGATATTCATATAATTCTATTATAAAATATTCATAATATACGGTATAGCAAATATACGATATTCAAATTATAATTTCTCTATTTTATTGGCTGTTCTTGAATATCGTATGAGCACTCTCTTTGAATATCGTAAATTCGTCACTTGCCAGCCATTACCCATACGCGATGGCAGCGCCGTCAACACCGTCG